TCACCTTGGTGCAGATGGAGCTAAGAACATTGGAATGAGCTTGGAGAAGTGCCAAAATATAACATCTTTGAATCTCAATTTAGAGTAATTTAACTAACTATCAATTTATTTAGTTTGTTTTAATTAATACATTTGTGAAATTGAAACTTAAAACAAATGGGTTTAGAGAATTAATTGATTGATTGATTCACAGCTCATAAATTGTTTTTTGATTTTTTTGTTTAATTTTTTTTGTGCATCTAAATTTATTAGTTTACGAATTGAAACAATTATTCCAATTAATTGCATCAAAATAAATAAATAAGCACTTTTTAATATTTTTAGCAAAATAATTCATTATTAACCCATTTATTAATTACTTTTCTATTTTATTTTCATTATTTTCAACACATTCATTATTTATTATTTTCATAGGGGTAATAACTTTGGTGCAGATGAGGCTAAGAACATTGGAATGAGCTTGGAGAAGTGCCAAAATATAACATCTTTGAATCTCTATCTAATGTAATTTAACTAACTATCAATTTATTTAGTTTGTTTTAATTAATACATTTGTGAAATTGAAACTTAAAACAAATGGGTTTGGAGAATTAATTGATTGATTGATTGATTCACAGCTCATAAATTGTTTTTTGATTTTTTTGTTTAATTTTTTTTGTGCATCTAAATTTATTAGTTTACGAATTGAAACAATTATTCCAATTAATTGCATCAAAATAAATAAATAAGCACTTTTTAATATTTTTAGCAAAATCATTCATTATTAACCCATTTATTAATTACTTTTCTATTTTATTTTCATTATTTTCAACACATTCATTATTTATTATTTTCATAGGGGTAATAACTTTGGTGCAGATGGAGCTAAGAACATTGGAATGAGCTTGGAGAAGTGCCAAAATATAACATCTTTGAGTCTCTATCTATGGTAATTTAACTAACCATCACTTTATTTAGTTTGTTTTAAATAATACATTAGTGAAATTGAAACTTAAAACAAATGGGTTTGGAGAATTAATTGATTGATTGATTCACAGATCATAAATTGTTTTTTGATTTTTTTGTTTAATTTTTTTTGTGCATCTAAATTTATTTGTTTACGAATTGAAACAATTATTCCAATTAATTGCATCAAAATAAATAAACACTTTTTAATATATTTAGTAAAATTATTAATCACTGATTAATTAATAATTTTCATTTTTCTATTTTAATTTAATTATACTAAATTTATATATTTTACAGATTTGATGATTTCGAACACAAATTCAAAATTAATATGGACAATGTAAAAAGTACAAAAAATTAGTATATAATAATATATTTATCTGCAAATAAATATTGATCAATAAATGAAGCTAATCACAATTTTTAAGAATCCATTAATAAATATTTTTTATATATGAATTTCATGTTCTAAATGTAATTAATCTTATAAAACTCATAGATAAATAACAAATGAAATTATTATTATAATACATAAATACATATTTATTAAAATTTATAAAAAGTTTTTTCATTTAAATTAAATTTATTGTTTAAAATATCTTAATAGTAAATTTTAAACCATTTCAACTATATTATTTTTATTTTCATTAAAGATAGACTTTAAAAAACATATTGATTAAAATATAATTTTACTATTTTAATAATTATAATAATTATCAAAACTATAAGGATTGTTGTGACTAAATTTTTTTAAATTAGTACACTCTAAAGAGAAACTCTTAATAATTATTACTATTTTGGGATAATTATTTCTTGAATAAGAAATATACGTTTAGTAGATTAATATATATTATTTAGTAAAAAAAAATTTAAATCAGGTTTTGAATCTGATAGAATAAAAAAATAAAAAATGAAGATATATTTATTAATTTTTTATATTTTAATTAAAATAAATATTAGAAATAAATTCAAAAGTATTTCATATCATATATTTATATTTTTTGAAAAATGATAATTAATTTATTTATTTTATATTATTAGATTTTTCTTTTAAATAAATCTCAAATGGTATAGGATTTTTTATTTTTATTTTTTTAAAATTGAATAAAGCTCAGTTGCACAATTTTTTCAGAAATAATTTCTAATTTAAAAATTTAAAATAAATCTAATTTTCCTACAAGAAATAAAAAACATTTAATTATTACTTAAATCAATTTTTTTTTTTAAGAGTATCTATGTTTTTATTATATTAATTTTAGAATAATTTGATTTGAAGAAGTAATAATACTTAAAAAATTAAAAAAGAGCTCAATCTTCAAATTCATCCACAATAAAGGCTTCTCTTAAAATATATTTATCTAAGTCGTTTTTTAACCAAAAATATAATGAGAGATCCTTTAATTCAGTAAAATTATCTTTCATGTCATCTCTAAGTTCTATTTTATAGTTTTTATTTGGATAATCTAAAATCTGCAACAACTTACCATCCTACCAAACTCTCAATTCTATCATATCATCTTTATTTATGCAAAATTCATCGCCTTTTATAAATTTAGATATACCAAAATCATCATAATATTAGAATTTTTCATCTTAAAATTAAAGCTCACAACTTAAATTTTAATTGTACCCCAATTAATTATTCTTTTCTTAATTTTACATGAGCCCAAATAAAAAATAAGCAGTAGTATCTTTAGTTTATAATTAGAATCTAAAAATGTATTTTTTTTTAGGCTATAAAATCAATTATGAAACACAATTTGTTTATTCCTCTTTATTATTCCCAATATAATTTGATTCATCCAAATATATTTCAAATTATTTATTATTATTTTATTTGATTTATGTCCTTTATATACCATCACTTATTTCACTTTTTTCAAATAATATTTCGTTTAAGATATCTTTTTTATTACCTTTCAAAAGTTGAAAAACTGGAAATTATTTAGAATACCTTTCTAAATCATTTTCATCAAAGTATTATTTTGAAATAATTTCACAAATAACAATTATTTAATCTGAATTTAGTTCTTTCAAACATTCAAACTTTTAAATGTCACTGTGCAACTAATTAAAATTAATTTAATTTTAGAAGACTTATGTCTCTACTAAGTAATTTGCAAATTATTTTTTGAAATTTTCATTTACAAAGTTCAATTTGGTATTGAAAATATTTATTATTTTGGTTAAATTTTCTGATTATTAAATTTGCTGTTAATAACTTTGATCATTTTCCAATTTGATCAAATTTTCTACATATTCATTAATATTTTATAGCTTTTCGTCATTTATTTAAGAAAATTTTATTGGTTGTTTATTTTCTTTGAAAATATTATCAAACTAAATTTTACTTAGCTATTTATTTAATTTAGTTAATTCTTTTCTCACAGATTCCAAAAACTCTTCGCTACAATAATTTGATTTATTAGAAATTAGTTACATCAATTTCTCTGGATTGTTATTGTTATCGTTTATGCTTTGTTAATTATCGCTAATTTGACTTTAAATAGATTTTGATTAGCCAAGAATATCTTTATTTTCATTCAATTTAATTTCATCTACAAAATCTAAAACTTGCTGCTTTAGTGCATTTAGATAGCCAAAATCAATTATTTATTCTATTTAATCGCATTGTTTAAGTAATTCCTCAATTTATTTTGTATTGCTTTCTTTTTTAGTTTCAAAAGAATAAATAAAGTCTTTGCACTTCTACTGGTGTTTATCAAAGGATTCTTTCTAATTCTCTAAAAGTAAATTCCTTAAGCTTAGAATTTAAGATATTTGCTAATATTTTTTCATGATTTGCTCTTTATTGAAAGGAAGATCCTATACATGATTAATCATTATCTTCTGATTGTAATCTATTTTTTTAATGATTTCATCCTTGAAATGGGCGAAAAAGCTGTTGATTTAGTCTAAAATCTTGTCTGTAGATACAATATTCTACGATTTCAATTGCAGCATTCTGATTAGTGATTAATCTTTGAGAGGAGGCCATTTAAATTATAACTCTGTTTCTGCTTTTTCAATGATTTGAGAGATAGTCATGTAGTTAACTCCTTTTAAATCTAAATCCTAGTCGAAGCATTAATCGCAGAGAAATATGTTTGCGTTAGGTTAATTAGACACTCCAATTACTTGTATAAAAGTGATCTTTTTATCTGGATGAAAAATGCAACTTTAATTAGATAATTCACTAAATTATAAGTTATCCATTTGTATGCCTTTCTTTATTCTTTTGTATTCTTCTTTATTATTATTTACTTTTTAAATGACACTTAATTAATAATTTTCTTTTGTTTTTATGAATAAAATTGTTTATTTACATAAAATTATCTCTACAAATAAACATTAGGGATAGATATTTTCAATATAATAAATAAGTGAAAGAAAAAGTCTGATTATGTATGTATCTTTTTCATAATTCAGCATTAATAAATGTTTAAATTAAGGTGTAGTGTAAGTTCTTATTTTAAAGGATTTATATAATTGATTTACTTACTATTTTCATAATATTTTAATTTCTTATTGTTTTTTGGAATAGCATTCTAAAATATTCTTACTTCATTACCTTTAACTTCCTATTCTATGGATAAGGTAAATAATTAAAGGTATGACGATTTATTTATATATACTTTTACAATTAATCTAAATTAATGTAGAATATATTATTTTTTAAAACATTAATAGAATAAAGATAAAATTTAACAAAAATTAAAATATATTTTATTTTTTTTATATAAATTAATTTATATATGTATTGCTAAATTAACACTAGATAGATTTCAGTTTTTAAAACTAACTTTAAGAAATTAATTGATATTTTTAGAAAAATGATAATTAATTAATTTATTTGATATTATTAGATCTTTTCTTTTAAATATATGTATATATCTTAATTGGTATAGAATTTTTATTTTTTTGATTTTTTAAAATTGAATAAAGCTCAGTTGCACAATTTATACAGAAAGTAATTTCAAATTATAAATTTTAAAATAAAGCTAATTTTTGTACAAGAAATAAAAAACATTAAATTATGAATTAAATTAATTTTATTGTTTTTTTTAAGAATACCTATTTTTTTATAATATTTTTATTCATTTTAGAATAATTTGATTTGATAAAATAATACTTAACAAAAATTAGAAAAGAACTCAATCTTCAAATTCATCTACAATAAAGGCTTCTCTTAAAATATATTTATTTAAATTATACTTTAACCAAAAAATAATGAGAGATCTTTTAATTTTGTAACTTTTTCTTTCATGCCACCTTGTAAGATCTATTTTTTTATTTTGGTTTGGATAATCTAGAATCTTCAACAACTTTGTTTAAATTTACTGATTATTAAATTTACTGTAAATAACTTTGATCATTTCCCAATTTTATAAAATTTTCTACATATCCATTAATATTTTATAACTATTCATCATTTATTTAAGAAAATTTTATTGGTTGTCTATTTTCTTTGAAAATATTATCAAACTAAATTCTACTTAGCTATTGATTTAATTTAGTTAATTCTTTTCTCGCAGATTCCAAAAACTCTTCGCTACAATAATTTGATTTATTAGAAATTAGTTACATCAATTTCTCTGCGTTGTTGTTGTTATTATTATTTATACTTTGTTAATTATCGCTAATTTGACTTTAAATAGGTTTTTATAAGCCTAGAATATCTTTATTTGAATTCAATTTAATTTCATCTACAAAATCTAAAACTTACTGCTTTAGTGTGTTTAGATAGTCAAAATCAATTATTTATCCTACTTAATCGCATTGTTTAAGTAATTCCTCAATTTATTTTGTATTGCTTTCTTTTTAAGTTTCAAACTAATAAATAAAGTCTTTGCACTTCTACTAGTGTTTATCAAAGGATTCTTTCTAATTCTCTAAAAGTAAATTCTTTAAGCTTAGAATTTAAGATATTTGCTAATACTATTTCATGATTTGCTCTTTATTGAAAGGAGGATCTAATACATAATTAATCATTTTCTTCCGATTGAAATCTATTTTTTTAATGATTTCATCCTTGAAATTGGCGAAAAAGCTGTTGATTTATTATAAAATCTTGTCTGCAGATATAATATTCTAAGATTTCAAATGCAACATTTAGATTAATGATTAATCTTTGAGAGGAGGCCATTTAAATTAAAATTCTTTTTCTGCTTTTTCAATGATTTGAGAGATAGTCATGTAGTTAACTCCTTTTAAGTCTAAATCCTAGTCGAAGCATTAATCGCAGAGAAATATGTTTGCGTTAGGTTAATTAGACACTCCAATTACTTGTATAAAAGTAATCTTTTTATCTGGATGAAAAATGCAACTTTAATTAGATAATTCATTAAGTTATAAGTTATCCATATCTATCTATGCCTTTATTATTTTGTATACTTCTTTATTATTATTAATTAATAATTTTCTTTAGTTTTTATGATTACAATTATTTATAAATACAGAATTATCATCCCTATAAATAAATATAAGGAAGGTGTTGATATTTTTCAAAAAAAATAAATAAGTGAAAAAATAAAGATCTTTAATTAAGTCTACCTTACATAGTAATATAAATATATTCAAAATTGAATAGTATAATATCTAGTAAAAAATTATAAATTGATTAAAATAGGATAATAATCAATTTTCCTATTTTATTTAAATAATTAATTAAATATCTATTTATTTTAATATATTTAATGTATAATTAGTTATTTTATTTAAGTTTTAAGTTTATAAATCATCTTACCTACTTACTACCTTATTACTTCCTACACAGCCAGTTTTATCAAAATTATGCAAAAGAGTTACTGATTACTAAAAATTAGAGAACATTTTATAATAAAAAATAAGATAAGCATTTTAAAATTTATAATACCACATTAAACAAAAATTACATAAATTCTTGATATGAAATAAGTTTATAAAAAGCCAAATTCAACATTAACGACTTTTAAATTCATTAATTTACTCTAAATATTATTAAATAAAAAAATCAAATTTGTATTGTCTGAATGAATAAATGATAATTTAAAAAACAATTATTTTATGATTTAAAAAAATATAAAATGAAAAAAATGATCATCATATTAATTAAAAATTTGAGAAAAAAAGAAAAAAAAACATTAAAACCACTAAATTTAAAATAAAAAGTAAAACTTGATTTCTCGCTGGGGTTTTATTTAAATCATGGCATCTAATTAATCATTATAAATAAAAAAAGGATAGAAATACGATTGATGGATAATATTTAAGATTAAAATAAAACTGGCATATAAAAGTTTGGCATTTATATAATTTAATAAGATGTAATATAAAACTAAGAGTTTCAAATTATTTGATCGTTTTTGTAGAAACCAGAGGGTTTACTTATTAGGATTTAATTTATTTAAGTAAACTTAATTTTTTTATTATTTATGAATAATTTATTTGCTTACAAAAATATGAATGATATTTATAAATATAAAATCAATAATAAAATCTATTTATATTTTAGGTAAAAAACACTTTTTCAAAATATTATATAATAAAATATATAATGCTATTCAAACATTTTATATTTATTCATTCATCCTTTTTTCACCATTCTTTTATCTTTAAGACAACTAATCTTTTTGATTTAAGATACTTGCTTAATATTTATGATATATTCATTGAGCTAAAAATTTAAAAATAAATTTGTGTAAATTTTAAAATAAATATCAAAATAGAATAAACTTTTAAATTAAAAATTATTTTTTAAACAAATAAATAAAATAATATTAGCGGAATAAAAAAGATAAAAAAATAAGATAAGTAAAAGCTATCAAATAAATTCAATGAGCTTTATTGTTTTTAATTAGTTTTTATAATTAAAAATATCACAATCCAAAACAAATAAACTGTTTTTACCTAAGGTAAAGTGTCAAATTCGAGAGATTAATGCAATTTGCTAAAGCAGAACCTAAGCCTGATGCACCCATTGCACCAATTTAATTTTTACTTTTTAAATATTGAAGAAAAAATATATCATTAAATAGTTAATTAGAAGGAAAAAATGAAGAAAAAATATGAAATAATAAGAAATAAATAATAAAAGCAAAAGTTGAAAATAAAATGATGAGCTAAATTAACAAAGAAAGAAAGAATAAAAAAAGCAAGCACAATAAAAAGAAAAACAAAAAAGAGCTTTATTGTTTTTAATTAGTTTTTATAATTAAAAATATCACAATCCAAAACAAATAAACTGTTTTACCCAAGGTAAAGTGTCAAATTTGAGAGATTAATGCAATTTGCTAAAAAAGAACCTAAGCCTGATGCACCTTCATCACCAATTTAATTTCCACTTTTTAAATATTGAAGAAAAAATATATAATTAAATAGTTAATTAGAAGGAAAAAATGAAGAAAAAATATGAAATAATAAGAAATAAATAATAAAAGCAAAAGTTAAAAATAAATTGATGAGCTAAATTAACAAACAAAGAACAAAAAAAGCAAGCACAATAAAATGAAAAAGAAAAAAGAGCTTTATTGTTTTTTATTAGTTTTTATAATTAAAAATATCATAATCCAAAACAAATAAACTATTTTTACTAAAGGTCAAGTGTCAAATTTGAGAGATTAATGCAATTTGCTAAAGCAGAACCTAAGCTTGATGCACTTTCATTACCAATTTAACTCCAACTTTTTAATTTAAAAATATGTCATTAAATAGTTAATTAGAAGGAAATAATGAAGAAAAAATATGAAATAATAAGAAATAAATAATAAAAGCAAAAGTTGAAAATAAAATGATGAGCTAAATTAACAAAGAAAGAAAGAATAAAAAAAAGCAAGCAATAAAAAGAAAAACAAAAAAGAGCTTTATTGTTTTTAATTAGTTTTTATAATTAAAAATATCACAATCCAAAACAAATAAACTGTTTTTACCCAAGGCCAAGTGTCAAATTTGAGAGATTAATGCAATTTGCTAAAGCAGAACCTAAGCCTGATGCACCAATTGCACCAATTTAATTAGACCTTTTTTAATAGTGAAGAAAAAATATATCATTAAATAGTTAATTAGAAGGAAAAAATGAAGAAAAAATATGAAATAATAAAAATAAATAATAAAAGTAAAAGTTGAAAATAAAATAATGAGCTAAATTAACAAAGAAAGAAAGAACAAAAAAAAGCAAGCACAATAAAAAGAAAAAGAAAAATGAGCTTTATTGTTTTTAATCAGTTTTTATAATTAAAATATCACAATCAAAAACAAATAAACTGTTTTTACTGAAGATCAAGTGTCAAATTTGAGAGATTAATGCAATTTGCTAAAGAAGAACCTAAGCCTGATGCACCTTCATCACCAATTTAATTTCCACTTTTTAAATATTGAAGAAAAAATATATCATTAAATAGTTAATTAGAAGGAAAAAATGAAGAAAAAATATGAAATAATAAGAAATAAATAATAAAAGCAAAAGTTGAAAATAAAATGATGAGCTAAATTAACAAAGAAAGAAAGAACAAAAAAAAGCAAGCACAATAAAAAGAAAAACAAAAAAGAGCTTTATTGTTTTTTATTAGTTTTTATAACTAAAAATATCACAATCCAAAACAAATAAATTGTTTTTACGCAAGGTAAAGTGTCAAATTTGAGAGATTAATGCAATTTGCTAAAGCAGAACCTAAGCCTGATGCACCCATTGCACCAATTTAATTAGACCTTTTTTAATAGTGAAGAAAAAATATATCATTAAATAGTTAATTAGAAGGAAAAAATGAAGAAAAGATATGAAATAATAAGAAATAAATAATAAAAGCAAAAGTTGAAAATAAAATGATGAGCTAAATTAACAAAGAAAGAAAGAACAAAAAAAAGCAAGCACTATAAAAAGAAAAAGAAAAAAGAGCTTTATTGTTTTTAATTAGTTTTTATAATTAAAATTATCACA